TCCCTCACCGACGTCTGAAGGATCCCACTTTGCCTGGTGGACTTTTCCCCAGGGGTGCTTAACACAGTCCAAAGTTTTATTCTGAAAATCCAGACAGTGTGGGGCTGCTGTGTCCCACAGGTCCACGTCTGAGGATAAGCAGGTGGGAGGAGACATTAGGAGCCAGTCCATCCCTTAATCCCCCAGGGAACCCCACCAGGGACTGTCCAGTCTCCCCTTGCACATCTTCAGTGCTACAGATATCATTTCATCCATCCTGCCCTGGTGAGGCTGCCAGCAGACAGTTTTGCTGCATTTTGCCAAGGAAGCTTTTAGGCCCAGGACAGTGAAGTGATTTGCCCAAGGTCATTTGGAACATCACTGAGACAGACATCTGAGTCTAGGCACTTGACACCCGAGTCTGTCCCCAGTCACACAGTCTAACGGACAACATTCTCAAGGAGGACTTAGACTGGGTCTCCCCTAACACAGGCATGTAACTTCAATGGTTGCTGCTGTAGTTCACTGCCATCAAGTTGGCCCCTGACTCACTCTGCTGTGACCTGTAGGGTGGTCGTTAATTTTATTGTTCTGGTGAAGGTTTGCCCAGCAGTTTAGGTTCCCGTTCAATAATTTCTACACATGTTCTTCTGTGACATGGCCTACAGTCCTCACAATGGGCAATCATTCTCATTATTTACATTCTGGTTGTTCTGTTTCCATTAATCTAGTTTCCCTGCTCCTCACAACTTCAGCTTTGTTTTCAAGTACTTGTTGATTGTTTGATTTCTTTTGTAACCATTTTACCGACCTCTAATTTGTATGCCATACAACTCAAAGGTTTAAATATATTAGAAAGGGTTGTATAATCACCACCACCATCAATTTTAGATAATTTTCTTCCTTTTGTATCTATTGTTATTAACTATTTCCACCCAACCCCCCCTCCATAGCCCTCTCAATAACTCTCACTGCCATCGAGTCAATGCCAACTCATAGACACACTCTCGGACAGGGTAGAACTGCCCCTGTGGGTTTTCCAGACTGTAACTCTTTTGGGGAGTGGAAACCTTCGTCTTTCTCTCATGGGACAGCTGGTGGCTTCGAACTAGTGACCTTGCAGTTAGCAGCCCAACACATAACCACTACACCACCAGGCCACCTTGCCATAACCCAAAGGAGCTATTAGTCTAGTTACTGTCTCAATGGGTTGGTTTCCTAGGTGATTCTTTAAAGAAGCACAGCACTGACAGGTTATACGTATTATTTTTTGAGGCAATTTGTCATTTATCCACACGGAGACCTCGTTTTCAAATGTGATTCCACAGGGCCTTTACCCAGCTCCTGGGGAGGAGGGACCCTAGGCTGAGGGAGGGGATCTGGCATCAGGGAGGGGATGGATTAGAACATTCAAGGACTGCCAGCCAACTAGGAACTGCAGACAAGGGCTCTGAGATGCCTTGTTTATTTGTGGGTGGGCAGGGCAGGGAGCTGGTGGGAAATGGGCAGGGCACAGTGAGGGTCAAGGTCAAGCATGTCATTTCTTATCCCCAGAGCCGGAGCTGACTGCACCAAATCTTGTCTCATTATCCTTTTGTGTCAGGTGGGTCCTCGGCACTTTGAGTTGCTCGGTGATCTGCTGCCAACAGCACAGGCAGACGTTTCTCCTCAAGGCCCCCTTTGATCCCTGTGCCCCTGTCCCTACAGCTCCGCTTGGTGCCACGCTGTCCCAAAGGCTCTGGGCAGAGGGGAGTTGTCACAAACAGGACGCTGCAAGGTCTGGAAACAAGCCCTGGCTCCTCCCTTAGGCGGGTGTGCTATCCAGGGGGTTCCGGTTGTTGGGCCCTGCACGGTGGTCACGGGGCCTCATTGCCCTGCCAGCAACCGCCAGCAGCCCTGAGTCCCCCCAGGACACAGGCAGACACCTTGCAATTCAGGAAAAGGACGAGCAGCTGGTGCTTTGGCCACATGATCCAAGAAAATGGTCCAAAAGTGGCCTTGTCCAAGCCCCCACATAGCAGCGTGTTGGAGTAATTTGCAAAGGGAAGCAGGAAGCTGGTGTGAATAGAGGGCAGTTACACAAGCCCTATGTTTTAGGCTGTACAGGCCCTGTGGCCACACCCTGGGCAGCAGTGCTGGGTAGAGGGCACTGAGGCAGGGGCAAGGGGACACTGCCCTTGGTCTCAAGGTGATGACGCCCAGCCCTGTACCCCTCGGGAACTCCATTTCAAAGATAGAGAGAGCCATAGGCACACTTAATTGGAACCCTAATCTGAGTGCAATTAGTCCGTAGGACATGGCCCCACTGGATGCTTGCCCTCACGAGAGGTCACTGAAGATACAGGTGTATAGCAAAGTGTGGTGAAGAAAGCAGACGGTGCCCGGCTCAGAAAGAATAGCATCTGGGGTCTTAAAGGCCAGTCTTTAAACAAGCAGCCATCTAAGTGAGGCATCAACTAGGTCCACATGGAAGATGTACATCAGCCAGTGTGATCCAAGGATTGTAAATAATAAAATCCAAATCCAGAGCAGGAACACTATCAGAGCTTAAATTCTGGGGACTTGCTTTACAGTAGACTATGGATGACAAGGGGAGTCCAAAATCCATTTGCAGGGTCCCCACATGAATTAAGGCTCTGGTGAAGGGGTCCAACCATAGTTGTAGGATGTAAATAGTCTTATCAGACAGGGAGCATTATAAAGTCCATTATGGCAGATGAAGTTATGTTAAATGTAACATTTTATCATTTGATCTTCCTTGTGACCCATTTTAAGGTGGTGTCAGTTTTCAATGTTTTCTGCTTTTTTTTCTATTGACGTTTTCTGTTTTATTTTGTCATTGTGGTTTTTCCCCCCTTTCTTTTTTCGATATATGAAATCCAGGATTGGTAAATCTATAGAGACAGTAAATGGGTTAATAATCACCTGGAGGCATCGCAGGTGAGGTTGGGGGAAATGAGAGCTAACAACAAGTTCAAGAAAGAAGAAAATGTTCTGAAATAGTTCTTCCTTTTTTTTTTTTGACGTTGCCAAGGATTTCGTTTTATTTGGATCTATACTCAATACTCATGTAAGCAGCAGTTAAGAAATCAAATGAGAGGGAGGGGTAAAAAGACAAGCTGATACCAACGGTTCAAGTAGAAAGAAAATGTTTTGGAAATATTGATGGCAAAATATGTACAAGTGTGCTTCATACCATTGAATGATAGATCGTCCTAAGATTGGTAGAGCCCCCCAATAAGAATTTTAAAACAGAAATCAAATGATGTACTGCATGTGGCAAGTCTGCTGCGCAAGACCTCTTTAGCGCCTAATAAAATGATGAATTAATAATAATAAATAAAAAGTGCACAACTGTTCTTAATATGATTCAACTATTAAATTGTATGGTATGGGAATCATATGGCAATAAAACTATTAAAGACATACATATATAAACATGTTTATTAATAAAAACAAAAGGTAGAGCCATAGGATCCATAGGATCCTAAGGCCTGGCCCTTCCTAAGAGGGCAAAGGGCTCTTGAGACTGTGAAGGCACAAGAAGCAGTGCCGGAGATGGCCTGCTGAGGGGACCACTGGAGGCCTTGAGCCGGCCTGGGTGACGGACCTCAGGGAGTGGCCCCATGAACACACCTGTAGCTCCCCGTGGGCTCTCCCGGTTAGTCCCCGTGCAGGTACAGGGCCACACCTAGGGCAGGAACAGAGCTACCAGCTACATGAGCCCGGAATCAGCCCTTTAGTTGGGATAAATCTCTTAAGATTGCAAAAAAGGATACACCGGGTCCATGGAGATCTCTGTGGGGTCTCAACTGGGCAGTGAGGGGCTGACAAGAACCCCTGCCCCCCAGGTCATGCTCCCTCACTTCTCCACTGCACCGGTGCTGCCTGCCCACTCGCCATTCTCTTTGCTGGTGGACAGCTGGCCTCACTTAAGATGTACACCTTGAGATGACCCTGAACCCGACACCAGAGGCTCCCCCGGAGTCACCCTCTGCTGGGGGGCGTTCAGGGCTCTGCTCTTGCTCCATGGCGGGCCCTCCTTATTCTGTCAAAATCAAACCTACCCCCAAGGCCCCGGCTTCCCCATCCATGAGCACCTAGCTCTCTTTCCTAAAGCTCCCAGCACGGTGTGTGAACACCAGGTGCTTCCCACAGACACCCTGGCGTAGGCTGTGCCTGCCCTCAGGGACTACACACCCTGAGCATTCATGGGGGGCACTCCCCAACTCTCACCCAACGGCCCCATCTCTGGAAAGAGTCAACCTTTCTGGAGCGACACCATGCCTGGTCCTGGTGATGCAGGGCTCAGGTACCTGCCTGGCTAATGAGACTGTTGGGAGGTTCGAACCCACGTGTTTCGGTAAGCGGAGAGGACATCGGCCCCCACAGAGATGTATGTAGCTGTTGTGAGGTGCCGCTGTGAAGTTCCTTACTGCTCCCCACATTTCTTGGCTGCTGGGCCTTTTCGCCCCCAGAGCTACTGGGTGACCCTGAACCACGTCTTTCAGGTAGCGGGCTTGTGCTTCACCTTTGCGCCATGACGGCATAAAGGTTACAGCCTAGAAAGCTCCATAGGACAGTTCTACTCTCTCTCGTGGTTTTGCTGGGAATCATCAGGATGGCCTCACTGGTACCTCAAGGCAAGAACAGCAGGCTGCCACACTGAACCTGGAATCTGGCTTCAAACCTGCCTCACTCTGGTCTGGTCCCCATGGGGAGTTGGCATGTGCACCCCAGAGAGACTGGATTAGTCAATCCTTATGCATCCACAAGGCTCACCCGGGGGACTCTCGTTAAGATGCAGACACTGGTTTCGGTCCATCTGGGGTGTGGATACAAGTTTCCAGTTTGCAGCCTTGGCTGAGCGCAGTTGGGCCTCAGGGCAGCACTCAGGCTTCCACTGACAGGTGGGCGGGGGCTGCAACCCAGGTGCTCAGGCCTGGAGTGAAGGCCGGGCAGCAGCTATGAAGTCCCAAGGCCCCCTGGTAAGCAGCCACAAAATAAGAGCAGACAACACGTCCCACTCACATACGTGATTTCATTTGATCCTCACAACAGCCCTGTGAGGTAGGTAGGTTACGAATCATTGTGATGCCCAGTGCACAGACGAAGAAACCGAGGTGGCTCAGGGAGGTGCGTGGCTCACGCAGTCACAGAGCACACGAGTGGCTTCCAAGGCCCAGTGTGTTCTCCAAAGTGAGGCTGCTTGACTTGAGAAGCACCGGAAAGACGGAGACACAGACGCTTTGCCGAGAGGGAGAGACAGGGCAGCAATGATGGACGACATTTCCAAGTTCGGCTTGACTGTGGCCAAGCGTGCTGCTGTGTGGCCAAGACTGGGTTCTTCAGAGAGGCTTCCCGGAGTCCTAGACTGACTAGGGAGACCTTTAGATCCCACTGAACTCTGGGGAAAGTTCTTATTGCTAAGAGACCCAGCTTTGCGCAAGGCCCCGCATACCACCTCGCCACTCAGAGGGCCCGACTACGGAAGACCCCTTGCTTGTTCCACGTCCCGTGGGCACCTGTGTCATCAGGACTTCCCAGCTTTGTCTGAAGGGCCCTCATCAGGGGGGAGGACTCTTAAGCACTACCAAAGCCATCTTCGCTCCAGGGAAGAATCATGATGTGCAGTTTGGGGCCTCTACTGCTCAGCCTCCACAGGGCAGTAGTAGCTTGGTTTCTTTACCCCAAGGCAGCCCCTGGATCGGTTATGTACAGAGCCACGAGGGCTGGGAAGACCCCCTCCTCTTGAACAGTGTCTTAGGGGCCGGGAACTCTTCCTAAGGGCACCGCCTTCTGTTCGGACCACCCTTAGGCTCCTTGCTGTACACCGGCCTCCCTGGATCTCCCCAGGGGCACCTTCTTCGGCCAGCACACACACAAAAAAAACGGTTAAGAGAGATGCGGGTGAAGCCATGCCATTGAGGAGGGGAGGAGGTCAGTGTCAAGGTGAGGCCGTTCACAAAAGGGGGTTGGCTCCCAGGGGGATGGACGGGAATGGGCTTGGTTCAGAAGACACGCCTCCTAAAGGCTGGGGGGCTGCATTCTGAGCAATCATATTTTCGGAATAAGGGTCTGGCCTCAAAGCAACTATTTTGAAGGAGGAGACACACATCTGGGTGTGAAGAAAGATCTGGAACCCAGACTGGCATATGGAAGAGGCGGGAGGGTGGGTTTGGGTTCGCTAACAGGCAGGAGCTGCCTTGGGGATGGCCAGTTTCCCCTCGCCCCAGCTTCTCCAGCAGGGACAAGTGACTGCTTGGGGGCTACCCTCAAACGGTGCTCACCGCTGTGCTGGGGGGTGGTGGTGGCAGGGACACACCTAAATGACCTCTGAACAATTTTCTAACCCTGAGATTTCAGAATATAGTTGTTAAGAATGACCTGTTTCCGTCATCCCTCGCATGGAGGGGTGAAGGGTGACAAACGTCATGTGACAGGTCCGATGATCGGCGCCTTTCATCACACTGACTCCACAGCCATTTGCGTCTGCGCACGGACAGCCGCCTGGTTCGTTCTGGAGACAGAGACCCCAGACGCCTACCTTTGGCTTGGTCCTCCAGGCCACGCCACGCCTCCCCACCCCCAGCTCGCTCTCTTACCCCCAGCGCCGCAAGCATAACCCTGAGAACAAACTTCAAAGAACCAGACCTAGTGATCCCGGACGCACGAGTCCTAGGTCTGGGCGGGTGCTCGGTGTCCTGGGGAAGTGAAATGAAACGCATAGCCCCACCCCATTCCCTCTACCAGACCGGCACTCAGGGCACTGGCCAATGGCCCAGAGGGAGACGGAAGCCACCGCACAAAACCACTGAGACCCCTCCGTCCCCGTCAGGAAGTCCTCCTGCGGCCTCCCTGGTAGACGTCAGCTGACGCGTCACCGTCATAACAACCGCCCATCTCCAGCTTCACACCGGAGGAAAAGGGAGGTTGTGTTCAGAGGACACGACACGTGGATTGCACGACACGTGGGCGAGGGCATGCGGGGGAGCGAGTCTGGCTCCATGATGAATGCGTGTTAGGATAGGCCACGGCCTCACACCACGGGTGGGGTACTTTGTGAGGCTCTGCTGTCATGGACTTCTTGGCCCCCGCCCCCCCACCAGAGTGGCGAGGGTCCTTTTACCTGTACCTTATCAACCGGATAATCTTGTTATTCATAAAATCCAGAGCATGAGGGTGAGAAGAATCGAGGCAGAAGCCAGCGCTCAGAGCGATTTTCAGCACCTCCTCCACAAAGACCTGGAAGCTGTTGATCTGCTTGTTGGCCGGCACCACCCACAGCCTCTTGAGGTTCTGCTTGGTGTATTCCTCTTCTGGCAGGCCCTCCACGCTGGCCACCCAGTCCAGAGTCACGTGGTTGGGGTCCTGCAGGTGGCTCGTGACGGAGGAGAGGTTGCCATTGGAGCAGTAGAAGAGCTTGGAGCCCAGGAGCTTGAGGAAGAGGCAGGAGGTGCTGAAGATGTTGGCGTTGAAGACCTCCATGTTGGAGGAGGAGAGGCTGTAGATCTGGGGTGCCTCGCGCACCGTGAAGTGGACGGTCTGGACCCGCCTGTTCAGCGAGATGTTGAGCATGGCGTTCTTCTCGGCCGTGGACAGCTCCACCTCCTTCTCCTGCAGCGCCTCGATCAGGGGCTGCACCTGGTAGAAGTCGGCCTCCCGGCGGAGCAGGCCCATCTCCTGGAAGTCCTCCGGCAAGTCCAGGTGGGAGGTCCGCAGGAAGTTGAGGATGTAGCGGAACACTTTGCCATCCCGGTCGATGAAGCAGTTGCCCTGGCTGTCCCGCTTCGTGGGCATCTTCCCGCTGAACATGGCGCCCAGCATGGAGTCGGGGAAGCTGGTCAGGGTGGCCAGGGAGGTTGTGTAGAGCTTGCCTCCGACGTTCAGCGTGATGGGGTCAGACATGGCAGGAGGTCGGGGTGCTGCCCAGTAGTCCTGGAGAGGAAGGAGAGTGCGGGATGACCGTTACCCAGCCAGGTGTGGGCAGCCACAGTTCTCTACTCCTTACTGCAAACCAAGCCTCCACTCCTCTCAGCTGGCATCGGGAATCGATACTTGATAAAGACATTGGGGGGGGGGGGTGTTGACTGGTATACTGTTTAAAGCAGGGGTGGGGGATGCCTGGCCTGCGAACTCCTCCATACCAGTGAATGTGACACAGCTCCCCAAAGGGGGAGATGCAGGCCCAGCTGCCGCATGCGGGGTGAGCTCATGGACTGCTTGACCACATCTAGCAGGCTCATTTTTATTGATCATTTTTTATGGGCCATGAATAATGTTAAAAATATCCAAGGGGCCCTTGGCAGTCAAAAACATTCCCCCCACCCCTGGTCTAACGTGTATTAGATTCACTAGGCAGTTAAAACAAACAAACAAACAACAACAAAAAAACCCCCAATAAACAGAGAAGGAAGTCTTGGTCCCATCCTCCAGAGATGCTGTTAACTGGTCTGGAATGAAACCCTGGCACTGGTCTCTCTTGCTGTCTGATTCCAATTGCTCAGTTAGAATCGAGAGCCGCTGGTCCACAGAAAGAAGGAATGTGGGCCTGGGTTGAGCGCAAGTTACATGCTTTCAAGTATACGGCATCTGTTTGTCATGTCATTGCCACCCCCAGCTCCCCACCCCAAAGGGAAAATACTGCCATCCACCCAGCCACCCACCTCTGTTGTGTCGACAAAGGAAACTGCATCGTTTCCCTCCCCAGGCTCAGGGAGGTGAAGTCCAGGGCAGGATTCAAACCCAAGTCCCTTCCTACACAGGAATAATGTTTAAATGTTTACAAGCCAAAGACTGGTACACGCTAAATACCCTTGGGGTAGGATGGCATGCTTGGTAAGGTGGAAGGTCGGCCGGAAGAGGAGGAAAACCCTCAAAGAGATGGGTGCCACCCAGAGGCTAGGAGACAGAGAAGCGGCACTGAGGCCACGAGACCGAGGGGTGGGCTTCCTGGCTGACTGGACGAGTAGAGCTGCCTGCCTTTGGGCATTTCTCTGCACTGAGCAGCTTCTGGTACATCTCCCCATAGCCGCGGAGTCAGAGCTTGGGTCTCCAAGCCCCCCTTTCCAGTGGCAGTGCCAGGTGTTTCCATCACCACACTCCCACAGGTCTCACTGGGAGGAGACAGGGCCGGGGGGCAGACACTGCCTGAGAATTGCACGGTGTTTGTGGTCATGTGGCCATGAACTGCTGGAGCTAAAAGCCCCAGTGTGTACCCTGCTGCCTCCTGGACAGCCTCACCAGGATAATCTACAGGGCCAGAAGCCTAACAGAGAACTCATTTTCTCCCAAGCCCGCAGTGGGCTCATGTCAGCCACCCACTGCCTGTGCTCAAGGCTCCAGGGCAGGGTGGGTGGTGGGGGCTGCTCCTGCTCTCCATCTGGGTCCTTGGACTCATCCCTGCACTGCCTCCTGGGCTCAGGCTTGCATGCAGGGAGCTGTCTGTTTTTTAGTTTGGGTCCAGAGGGTGATTCGTGAGTTACCTGAAGGGAGGTTTCTTTGTTACTTAGCAGCCCGTATCACCTCAATCTTCCTCGAAGCTGCCCCTCGCCACCTGGGATGCTCTGGCCCTTCGGCCAGCCCTGAGCACACTGCCACACTGACTCCCCCGCCCTCTGCCTGTACCACCCGTCCCTGGCATTCCCAGCTTCTCTGCCGTTAAGCTTCAAGGGCTCATCCAGCCAGAGGCACTGCTTCTATCGGGCTGTCCTCAGCCCGCCCCCTCTGGATGAATGGCTCACCTGTGGGCGTTTCTCCGTGCCTCAGACACACCTCTCTGCTAGTTGCCACCATCCCGTCAGGAGAGGATTTCTGCTGCCGACAGCTCGCTCCCCCTACCCTTCTGCTTTTATCAAAATGCGGACCCCTGGACAGCCATAGGCTTGAGGCACCTTGACCCGTAGCTCACATCACACAGGGAGATCAGCTCACCACGAATCAGAGCCCTAACCCGCAAACCGAGACCTAGGGAGAACCTTTGTGACTGCGGTCCACGCAACGATTGCCGTGATAGGACACACAAAACACAAACCACAAAAGAAGAGACAAATGATAAAGTGAACTTAATCCGAATGAGGACAGGGGGGTGGAGGGTGGAGGGGAGTCTGCTCTTTGAAAGACACTGCTAAGGAATGAACAAACAAGCCACACGTAGGAGACAATACTTGTAACAAAAAAGATGGCCAATGAGAATATCAAAAAAACTCAAAACCCCAGGCTGAGAAAACCAACCACCTAGTCAACAAAAGACCTGAACAAAGGCTTCAGCAAGGACACTCGGACGGCAAGCAAGCCAACCAAAGTATGTTTGACACCGACTGTCGTCCGGGGCATGCAAACCAAAACCATTTCGATTGCTTAACACAGGTCGGAGGGTCGAGTCCACTCGGAGAAACTCAGGGAGAAAGGCCTGGCAGCCTTCTTCTGAAAAGCCTGCCACTGAAAACCCTTGGGGCGATGACACCTTCAGAACGGCTCCAATCAAAATTCTTGACAAGTGCTGGTGATGCTCTGTGAGGCAGCTAGTTTATGTGCCAACCTGGCTGCTAAACACATGTGGGGTTGACTGAAGGGTGGAGTGATCAAAGGCTCGGTGAGCCTTGTCTTTCGAGTTCTCGGGTCTCTTGCTTTCTGATGGCTGGACCAGGGTGCAGCTGCCTTAGTCGGTTCCCTGCTTCAGCTGGCAAGGCTCACTTCCTGCAAGACATCCCTAAGGAGAAGCCACATGGACCTACCCTGATGCAGCCCTGAGTGCTGGAGCACCCGTGGGGAGACCCCTGCCAGGGCTGAGATGCTTACACCTTCACTGACTTGGCTTTCCTCCTGCAGTTGGCATCATTGCGTGTGTTTTGTGAGATGGAGGAGGACTTTGTGGATTGGTGTCGGACATATGGGCTAATATTGGACTTGTGGGCTTGTGCAGCACTGGGTTGGGAGGTTTGATTGATGCGCACTTAACCGTTATATAAAACTCTCTCTTATACACGAGTTTCTGTGGATCTGTTCTCTAAAGTACCCAGACTGACACAGATACATAGTTTAATTCCCCTCTAATCGATAATGTTGGACTTGTGGGCTTGGGCAGCACTGGGTTGGGAGGTTTTCTTGATGCTCACTTACCCTTTATATAAAACTCTCTCTTATACACGAGTTTCTGTGGATCTGTTCTCTAAAGTACCCAGACTGACACAGATACATAGTTTAATTCCCCTCTAATCGATAATGTTGGACTTGTGGGCTTGGGCAGCACTGGGTTGGGAGGTTTTCTTGATGCTCACTTACCCTTTCTATAAAACTCTCTCTTATACATGAGTTTCTATGGATTTGTTTCTCTACAGTATCCAGACTGACACAATCTGGAACCCTCACCCATGGCCAGCGAGAGTACCACTCGGCACGGCTACTGTGAACACAGCTTAGTGGGCTTTCCCGCAGTGGAACACACAAGTATCACAGAGCCCAGCAACCCCACTTCTGGATATTCATCCGAGAGAGAGGAAGACATGTTCGATGGGAAAGGCTGTCTGTGGAGGCATTAGGTTGGCTCGCTAGAGAAGGAAAACCAAGGATGGTTGTATGAGGGTGTATATAGAAAGGGATTTCTATCAAGAAATCGCTTACATGGGTGTAGAAGTAGGTGAATCGAGTCTGGTTCAAGTCTGTAGGTTAAATGTGAGCTGGAGGCTTCTCCTAAGTCATGCAGCTGCAGGAGCTGAGCAACAGGAAGTGGGAAGATGAAGCAGAAGGGCCACAGGCTGGTAGATCAGAGCTGAATGAATCCAAGGTCACCAGTCTGCTGCTGGCTGCTGGGATCCGCAGGTGACACAACAGATCAGCAAACCAGACACAGAACCCAGATCCAGCAGAAGGCGATGGGGCAAGAAAGAGCTCAGTGTCTCTCCTACAAGATTCCGCCCCCCCCCTGCACCCCAGGGAAGTGTCATTAGATCGTGACCTGATTGATAGGTGGAGCTCTGTCCCTACTCTTATCTGACATAAAACTCTAATCATTATAGATCACTTCTTGCCAACTTGACACCAGTACACACTCTTTAATCATAATCTCCAAAGACAATAATAAAATCATACATGTGCCTAACATGATACAACTAACATGCACACAACTGAAAAAGCAGTAACTCTATTTTGATCTTATGTTTTATAAGTGAACAAAAGTGTTAGATGCATACAAATAGGAATTACTCATAACAATTACAGTCCTCATTTCTGCAGCTGGTGACATGGATGTAGCTGGTATTTATAACCACCTTCTTCCGCTACCCATCCCATATTCCCTTTGCTCTCAGCAATTACCTCAGCGACTCGTGGTTCTTTGCCTAGTGGGGGAACCAAAGCTGCATTCCTAAAGAGTCTTGGCTACTAGTAGTCATGTCATAATTGGGGTGCTATAGTTTACCATTGATTTTAGTCACAGGACATGGCAGTATGGCCTATGGAATCTCCTAGACTCTAGAAAAATTCATTTTCTTCCATTAGAACCCTACTAATCCTGTTTCCCCATGGTAGTCAGATTAATCATGCCACTCAGTACAGTCACACCCTTCGCTGTCTGTAGATCCAGAGGCATGAGGGGTCCAAACTGGCCAGCAGGCCTTCTTAGCTGCCAGTCACTGGAATCGGTGATGGGTCTCCAGGTGGGAGCACTCCTCCCTTTGGGACTAAGACCTCCAGGCCTTTAGAGCACAGGGTCCCACGGACAGGAAGCAAACATGTGGTCAGTGGGTCATGAGGAGTAACAGTGAGTGGTGCTATTCCCATCACCCCCTTCTGGCTCCCAGAGCCATGAATCATGGAAAATACATGGAGAAACAACACCATATATTGGAAGCTGGTTTAGAGCATATACAGTCTCCTGGAGAGCAGTGCCCCAATTTTGCCAAGTGTTGTCCCCAAACGGGCACCATCATTGTGTCTGT